CTTTTAAAAAAGATCTGGAAACACCTGCTGTTGCTTTGCAAGAAAATATGAAATTCCTCTAATGACGAATATCTGTTTGACCAACACCAAATATATTCCCCTCTGCTCCATGTTCATTCCTTTCTGTGTTTACACAAACTATTTTTTATTGCCAGATCACAGTTATATTCTTAAGAACACGTGAAATGACAACACATATCAAAAATGGACCTGACTCAGATGAAGTGACAATCTGATTGGCTATGATCAACTTCACACATATGCAGGAAATGACAACCTGTCAGACCACTGCCTACCAAGTGCCACTTATGATGCCACTGGCTACATGAAGTATCTCAAATCTGCCTCTGAATCACTGAAACCAGTGGGACTAGTCCACATCAGTTTACTGGAAGATGAAGGGTCACTAACAAATGCTTAAAAAAGCTCCTTAATTAGAATACCTGTGAAATAACACAGATACCCACATACTCATGCCAGGGAATTCCTACCAAACTTTCTTCAATGTCCAGAGAAGCAAAGTGAGGACATCCAGAAAATGTCTCAAAGTGAGAACAAAAGTTATTTTGGCACATAGCCAAAGAGAATAGGTTGGTCAAAGTGTAATCAGAAGACATTTCCAGATATAAAATAGTCTTGTTTTTCTGAAAATCAACCAGAAATAATATAATCCCATCTCTACCTCTTCCCACTTCCTCTGTGAATCAAGAAGAGTGTGACACAGCATCCAATACAGTGTCACCCTGCAAGACTGCACCTACTTCCCTGTCACTCTACCTGCTCCACTCTGCTCACTCAGGTTTCTCTTTCAGGCAGAGAGCAGTGAACCTAAAACTACTGGAGGGCAGGTGGAACTCTTCAAATTAAAGTCAGATGAAGAACTAGAAAACAAATGGTAAAACAGCCTTCAAAGCAGAAATACAACCCTTCCCTAAAATTCTGAAGTTTGGGGGAAATATGGGAGAAATTTAAATATATTTACTGTTTATTTTTTTAAATATTTTTTTTTTAGTTGTCAATGGACCTTTATTTTATTTATTTATATGTGGTACTGAGAAGCAAACCCAGTGCCTCACACATACTAGGCAAGCACTAGACCACTGAGCTAGGAACCCAGCCCATACTGTTTATTTTTGATAACTTTTAAACCTTTAAAGTCCATCTTTTAACTCAAAGACACTGAAAAAAATCTTAATATATTTGATCTATTTACCCAAGTATTAGGCTTGGAGTGCTACATTAATATTGCAATGAATGTACAAATGGAATTAATTTTTCTATTATTATTTTTTTAAATCTACCACAGTAAAGAGAATGGAATAGTATGCCTATTATCCAGCTTCAACAATTCTCAACATACAACTAATTTTGTTTTATCTATGCTTTCAAACTCCTTCTACCTCCATTATCTTAAAATTAATTCCAGTCACAGTATCTCATAAACATTTTATCATGATAGATACCGAGGATGGCTCCAATTTGGGGGTATTATGGATAAGGTTGGTAAGAGTATTCTTGTAAAAATCCTTTTGAGGACATGTTTTTATTTCACTTGGCAAAAACCTTGGAGTAGAAGGTCTAGGTCATGGGTAGGTTCTGTTTGAGTTTATGAGAAATCACCAGGGCTTCTCCCAAAGTGGTCTATATGCAAGGTCTGGTTGCTCCAAATCTTCATCAACATTTGGTGTCAGTCACTAATTTTTATCTATTCTAATGGGTGGGTTCTGTTGAGCTAACATAAATACTTTAACTTTTCTTATTTTAAAAACTACTAATTTTCCAGAAAACTTGGTCCCAGTATCTGAGGACCAGCCCCAAGGTGCTGTGAGACCAAAGGAAGACAGGTAGACAGATGCAGGACTGCAGAGTGCAATCTACTGGGGGCCTTACTGAAGTTTAGTCCTGGGTGGCAACTGGGCCAGCCAATCCCCAAATTTTGGGTCAGAAGGAGGGGCATATTTATGGATTAGGAAAAAAGTGATTTTACCCATCTGGAATGTACCTGGTTTATCTTAATACTGATGAGTCAAGTACATCTCTGGAGCCATGGTCCCATTATAAAGTCCCTCAGATGGCTCTAGTGGCTTTATCTACTTTTGATTTGTTGGGAAACTATGCAGGGTTTCTAGGTCAGTCGTGGTGGTTATGACTCAAGATAGCTGCACTCATGTCAAGCTTTATCCTTAAAACTAAACCACATGACTCCATACATCTTCTATTGGGTATGAAAAACAGGAACAAATATGTTTTTTGTTTTGGTACTGTGAATTGAACACAGGGGTGCTTTATCACTGAGTCACATCCCCAGCCCCTTTGCATTTTTTACTTTTGAGACAGCGTCTCACTAAATTGCTAAGGCTAGTCTTGAACTCAAGATCCTCCTGTCTCACCTTTCTGAATCACTGGGATTACAGGCATGTTCCACAGCACCCAACTACAAATATCTTAAAAATGAATTAAACTGATACCTGGAACTAGGGATATGGTTCAGTGGTATAGTGCTTGCCTAGCATGCATGATGCCCTGGTTTCTTTTTTTTTTTTTTTAAATCTCAGGACTGTCTTTTTTTTATTTTATTTTTTATTTGTCAGTGGACACAACGTCTTTGTTTGTATGTGGTGCTGAGGATCGAACCCGGGTCGCATGCATGCCAAGCGAGCACGCTACCGCTTGAGCCACATCCCCAGCCCGATGCCCTGGTTTCAATCCCCAGCACTACAAAAACAAACAAGAAAATACACCAAAACCAAAAATCTATTAAAATAAGCCAATATGTAATTATCTTCATTTCATTTTTTTAAAAAAGCATTTCTACAGCAATGCAACACACATATTTCTGGAAACAGAGACCAAACAATAATAATGCACTAATGATACCAGCCAATTAGACCTCCGCAGGTACTTTCACCAGGAGTCACCCTCAGGTATCACCTTTCAGCCTTAAATCCTGATATTTTCCTGCTTCGTGATAAGGGCAATACAATTTCCAACACAGATCAGTCTTACAAAAACTACACACTGGATCCCAGGGATAGCTGATTTCATCAGTTATTTTAGCATGGCAGGGGTGCCTTCACATATTATTTATCACTTGCAGTGCAGCTTCGTTGTTACAAAGCTGTGGAAAGAGAAGCAGTTCATGAATCCTCTAAACCTATTACTTCTTTCTCTACAGGATTTCCGGTTCTTTCTTAAAATATTTATATTTTTCTCTTTAATTGTAGTCACTTCTCTGTTCATCACAGAACATCAGCATGCTGAGGAAAACTGTGTGTAAGAACCAGCAAAGCAACTTCCACTTTGTCTTGGTTCAGCTCTGTCTGGCAACAATATGATCCAGCTCACTTGAAAGAAGCACTGCATGAAACAAACTGTGCAGGAAAGGCCCACTTTCAAAAAGAAACCCAATATTCCGTGAATTTATTCTTGTCGCATCAAACTTTATTCAGTCTCATTTTTTGGTCATTCTGTTCATAGTTTATATTTCTTCAGAAGCTTTGTTTAAACATCTTCAAGAAGTTAGGAAAACTCAAGCTTCTCTAAACGGAGAAGAGCTTCTTAGACTTCTCCAAATTTGCCATATTTCCTTTTTTAAAAAAATATATTTTTTTAGTCATACATGGGCACAATATCTTTATTTTGTTTGTTTGTATGTGGTGCTGAGGATCTAACCCAGGGTCTCACACATGCAAGGCGAGTGCTCTACCACTGAGCCACAACCCCAGCCCCAAATTTGCCATATTTCAAAATGTAGATTGCTTTTTTACAGGAATCTGAAGCACAATCAGGCTGTGAGTTGGAAGGCCTCACAATCATACCCTTCATGAGGTAACTTGCAGAATCTGGAACAGCACTCTCAGAATTAACAATTACAATTTTTAAAATGTCTTTAACATTTTAAACTGTTATTCCAACACTGGATTCTTCTCATGGCATTCAGATTACAATTTACACCGAAGGCCACTTTAGAGTTACCACCCATAACTGTCACCCACTTGTCAGACGCTGTACTTCACTGTGTGTGAACACCCTTCTCCATTCTGATGCCATTTCACTCAAGAGCAGCTTCCCAGGATTTGATCACCATGCAGCCTCCAGGAAGCACCCTGAGAGGAGAGCCATGTGCACATGACCCACAAGTTCACCCCAGGGGCCTGGTGGACAAATATGCAAGGTGCTGGGCCCACTTCAGGCTATGTTTTGGGTTGAACTTCGTAAAGATCCCGAGAGCAGTTTATCTCTTCACTGGTGATAAGCATTCTGATCACTTGGTTAAAGTGATGTCTGATAGGCTTATCCACCTGTAAAATCACTGTTTCTCTAGGTAATTAGCAAGTATCTTAATACTTTCACACTATGTCAATATCCTATTTCCATTAACTTTTTTTACCATTAGTTTTAACGTGTATTTTTTTTATTAATTTCCCACTTTCCAGAACTGTCTAAGGTAGTTTTAAGCTTCTTTTATCTAATCTGAGCCTTCACTAGTGTCTACTCTAACCCCAGTCCTTTGAGGCACTCACCCCAACGTCTAGGCAAAGGCCTCAGGAGGAAGTCAAATCCATCTTCCTGTCATGAGAAATTGGCAGCACACTTGAGGGGCAGGTGCTGGCAGCTGAGAGCTGCATGGCTCTCCCATCTCTGGCCCTGCTACAGTTTTATGTCAAAACCCTGCATTTCACAGTTTAAAAAACCCACATGGAAAAGAACAAATGTCCAGTGGCAATAATATAAACACTTTTTCAAACTTTTTTTTTTTTTTTAATATTACAAATGTGATCCTTTTTTCAGAAAAGACCCCCTTCCCCACAGGAGTTCTCAGGTGGTTTTGCCCCTGCTGTACTCGCCCCACCCCTACCCCTGCCCCTGCCCCCACAAAGATGCTCCTCTTCCCCTACACAAGAGATGACATCCTAGGCTGGAAGAATCTGGTAGAACCTGCTAAGTGGTAGGATGGAAGAGAGCTCTGCTAGCCCTAGAGTCTATCCATCTGTCCTTACCTGCTGTGGAAAACAGGTGCGGACTGAGTGTTCTGTGTACCCAAAAGATGGCCCTTCAAAGACAGCTGTTGGGAGCTTCAGAACTTCCTTCAGAAACTGGTCAAACTTGCTAAATATCATTAAGCCATTGGAATCTGACATCTGGGAGAAAATATCTATGAGAACAAAACCAAATAAAGTCAAACTACAAGAAAACATTAAGTTTTTTCACTCTGTCATCTAAAAAGAACAAATTAAAAAGAAAATATTAGATTTTTTAAATAAATGGTGCTATGTTATCTCTATACCAGTAAAAAAAAAAAATCATTAAAAAGTACCATAAAGTCATGATTCTTAGTTAATATTAAAACTATTCTCATTCTTATTCACACTGTGTGGTTACTTTACTGACAGGTCCCCTCAATCCCACTCACTTAATACTCCACCTACCATTGTATACAATAACATTCAGGTGTATCTACCTACATACTCTTTTTGAATATGAAAACTGAATGATATATAAACTTAAATTCAATTTATGACTCACTTTATTTCAAGAAAGATTCACAACAGACTGTCTTTATCCCTCAGTGTCTGTGTTTATATAGAACACATACATGTTAGGTTACATGAACACAGTAGTATAGTAGTGATAAGACATGACATGGTACTGTCTTTACATATTCATGTATAAATCAAGGAATCGTATACATGTGAGGGAATAAATTTGACAAAGCATGGAAAATGTTTAAAATATTCTATTTAGTGAATTCTAAAGTACAATAAAAAGGACCCATATAAACTCTTCTATCCCAAAATACTTTAATAATATAAACCTTATTTTTACATAAAGTCCAGCTAAGCAAAGTAAAAAGAAATTTCCAGTAATATTACTCTTTCTTTACTTTCATGCAGAGTTCGTGTCTCTAGTTATCCCTCTCTTTTCATCCACAGTTGGAGAGAAAAAGACAAATGATCAGGAAATCAAAACAACACAATGAATGAAGAAACATAACCTAAACTGTTTTTCAAGTTACTGGGCTTCCTTACCCCCCCCAAAAAAAAATTAAAATAATTAGTGAATTAAATATGCACAGAAAATCATTCCCTTAGGATTTTTCAAACAAAGCATTTTGAAAATTTATGTCTATCTATTCATAGTGAACAGGTGTATGAGAAACCTACATATATATATATGAAATATACATTACTATTTAGGTTCAATTTGGGGAAGTTATCTCAAAGCACAAGGTAAAGAAAAAAATATTTTTAAATACATATATCAAAAAGAGACAAAATGCTAGATTGTCACTTCATAAGATAATTTTTTTTTAAAATATTTATTTATTTATTTTTCGGTGGACACAACATCTTTGTTTGTATGTGGTGCTGAGGATCGAACCCGGGCTGCACGCATGCCAGGCGAGCGCGCCACCACTTGAGCCACATCCCCAGCCCCATAAGATAATTTTTTAAGATATGAGAAATTATCAAAGGAATGAAAATCTACCCTGTCACAGGCCCCCCCAAAAAAGGTTTAAGCCACACCATGTGGCAGGCACCACACTGAGTCAGCCAGCAGCCACTCATTATTTATTATTTTATTATTTTTCTCTTCGTTAGTGACAGAACAGACTAAATTTCCCAGCCTCCATTTGCAAGGTGTGATCATGTGACTAAGCACTGGCCAATAAAACTGTAATCAGAAAGATGATGAGAGACTTCCAGGAAGGCTAAATAAAGTTAACTGACTGGAAATCATGCCTTTTTCCCCCTATTCCTTTCTTCCTTCTGCTGATAGCTGGAGCTCCAGCAGCCACTTTGGACTATGTGGTCATCTTAATATAGGAATCATGCATCAGAACTGTAGATAAGAAAGACAAAGAAAGCATGCATCCTAGAAAAACATAAAGCTTCCAAAGTAGCCCTGGACTCCTTTTATGTTAAAGAAAAATAAACTTTAAGACACCATTATATTGAGTTTCTGCTTTCATGCAACACACCCTAATCCTAAATGCTACTATATTTTACCAAACATTGCCTTGTTGTACTTTTATAAAAGGTTTATGTATGAACATATACATGAGCACACACACACACACAATTACTTAAATTTTATGGATGAAGAAATTGTAGCTTAGAAAACTTAACTTGTTCAAAAAGTTAGTAGGTGGCCAAATCAAGTTTTAAACCTACACTTGATTCCAAAGTAAATTTCATTATGCCATGTTCCTTCAAGATATAATTTAGGGGGCTGAGGCTATAGCTCAGTAGTAAAGAGCCTGCGTCGCATGTGTGAGGCACTGGGTTCGATCCTCAGCACCACATAAAAATAAATAAAGATGCTGTGTGTTCATCTACACTTAAAAAAAAAAAAGGTAAACAAACTGTTCTTTAAATATTAAACAAAAGGTATAATTTAGACTAGATATGAAAATATATAGGCACAGGAATATAGCTACCTTGAAAGATCAACAAACAGGACAGCATGTATAGATTTTGGCAACATATATACTAGAACAAATGGGCTAAGAACTAAGCATAATAAACATATTAAAAGGAACACTATCTATATGAAACAGAAAACAAATCATAAAAAAGAATGAATCAGAATAGAATAGACATTGTGATTGCTGTATGTACATAGGTGACTGTATGACCAATGTGATTCTGCAATCTGCACAATCAGAAAAATGAGATATTATACCCATTGATTCAAATGTATGAATTGCCAAGATCATTGTAATGTCATGTGTAGCTAATAAAAAAAAAAAAGAATGAATCAGATATATCATACAACAGCTACAAAGCAAAATGACAGGTGGGGCTCTCATGTTCATTCTACATAATAAACAGTAGCCTGGCTCCAGACGAAGGGCAATTAACAAAGAGAAAAGCAGACAGATAAATGCTCCTAAAGGGAAGTAGAGAAATGTAAAGAAATTGAACCATATGTGAGAAACACCAATAGATAAACAGAATAGATATGTCAGCAATCCAAAAGAAAGGAATTTGAAGCTATGCCCTGAAAGCTGAGGTCTGGAATGATGAGGTAAAAAGAGGCTGATGTGGGATGAGGAATCTCAGTAGAGAAGAGCAGGACCAGAGTCTCTGACAGGAGAATGCAGGGTCAGTCTTCACTGCAAGGAGGAAGCAGGGCACAGAGAGCACATTCTCTCTCTGACATTCGATTTATGTGGAGAAATAAAGACTGAATAAGAAGAATACTTCTGTTAATGAAAGAAAATTCCTAAAAGATGAAAGCAATTTGGATTTGGTATTCAAGTGGGATGAAATGTTTCGAAAACAGGTGTCAGGAAGGTTAGAGTGGCCAGGTGCAAAGGCACCTGTGATCCTAGCAATGCAGGAGGTAGAGGCAGGAGAATGGCAAGTTCAAAGCCTGCCTCAGCAACTCAGGGAGGCACTAAGCAACTTAGCAAGAACCAGTCTCAAAATTAAAAATAAAAATAACTGGAGGTGTGGCTCAGTGGTAAAATCCCCCTAGGGTAAGTCCTCAAGAGGAGGAAGAAGTGGGGGGGGGGGAGATGATGATGATGATTAGAGTGTAAATGACTATGACTAAAATAGGAAGAATGGAATTGGAGGTGGGGGGGAGCCAACAGGTCTCAATGCTAGGAATTGTAGTTGGTGGGAAAATGGATTAGGAAATAAAGGAATTTTAAAAGTTAGGATTATTCTTTAAATTTCTACCTTGCGGAAATGCTGACAACCCTCACTAAATCAACAAGTCAAAACAAAGCTTTGAATTCAACTATATTTGGACCAATCAGCACATTTTCAAGTGGAACCATCCTAGTATATTGGGCCACAGTTCAAGATGGACAGCAGATAGACAGGTCTGAAATGTTAACGCTGAGGTGAGCACTCGATGCTCTTCAAATGAGGGAAGAGCGTAAGTGATCCAATCTTTGGGCAGCTGGTTACTGTTCTTATGATGAGGAAAATGATCCTCCACTCAATCTGAGTGAAAACCATGGAACACAGCAGACACTTCAAGGCATCCCCTCAATACCTGTAGCCCCTCTTGCTCACTAAGGAATGCTGAGTTCAGGATGCCAGTGTGCCTGCTTGAAAAATGACTTCCCAGCCTCCTATGCACATTGTAACAGAACAGATTTCTGAAAAACCTTCAGCTTTCCTAATAGAAATACCTTTCTTCTTTCTTCCCAGAATGAGTATATGAGGCCTATGACAGAGTCATCTTAATCGTAAGGAAGAAAGCAGAGCAGGAAGAGGGAGGAAGGGGTCTTTGACAATATCCTTGGGTCATTGTACCAACTTGGAATTTACCAGCCCTTGGACTTATTATTACATGACAAAAATAAATCTCAATATATTTAAGTCTCTTTGTTAAGTTTTCTGTTCCTATTTAATTTATTCATAACTGATAAGCAAGTAATTAACTTATAGGCACTAATGGTAGAAATATTCAACAGAGAGTTTAGCTATCAAATATATTAATACACATATGTATAGCTTCATAGTAACAAAAGCACATATGTATAGACCCACATCAATGAGTCTACACTCAGAGTAACACATTCAGAGTAATAAAAGGGAGTGACTGGATATGACATGACTAACCACACCCAGTAAAAAGTATTATTTTCAATTATACTTAGTTGCTATGTCATATGAAGAGATCAAAAGTAAATTTTCTAATTCATGAAAAAAAAAACTATGATTTAAAAGGCCATGTTGGAAGAGAACAAACAGAAACATCTATATTTGTTTTAATTTTTTAAAAATTGCTAGATCCAAAAATTAAAGGCAATAAAAGAAGAAAATGTAGGCTCAAATCTTCATCATGTCGGCTTAAGACCTGACTTCCTTAACACAATGCCTAAAGCATAAAAAATAAAATCAAGAATCGGGTTGGGGTTGTGGCTCAGTGGTAGAGCACTTGCCTAGCATGTATGAGACACTGGGTTCAATTCTCAGCACCACATATAAATAAATAAAATAAATAAAATAAAGGTCCATCAATAACTAAAAAATATTTTTTAAAAAATCAAGAATCAATAAATGGGATGGATTCAAACTAAAAAGCTTCTTCTCAACAAAAACAATCACGCAAAGAGAGAGCCTACGGAATAGGAGAAAATCTTTACCACATACACATCAGATACAGCACTAATTTCCAGAATATATAAAT